TCTCTCTCTCTCTCTCTCTCTCTCTCTCTCTCTCTCTCTCTCTCTCTCTCTCTCTCTCTCTCTCTCTCCCCCTCTGTGTGTGTGTGTGTGTGTGTCTGAAGAAGAAGAAGAAGGAGATCAAAGGAGGAACAAGGAGGAAGGAGGGAGACGAGAGGGAGACTAGACGACGAAGAAGAAGAAGATGTCGTCCTCCTCGCTATCTCACCTCCAGGTGCCGCCACCGTGGACTGTCAGCTGTCATGTCGCTGTCATGTGCAGGTCGGCGCATCGTGGAGCCCCAGCTATGGCGCTAGGTGAGCCTCGCTGCAGGTATGGCCTCCGCCTCTCTGCCTCCTACGCTTCTAACTCTAACCTCTGGGCGCAGCGCTAATCCAACAACATGTCGCTCAAGAAGTGAGCTACTCAAACTGTGTGTCTGCCCAGGCCATGGCCTAGTTCTGTATAGCGCTGGGCCCTACTGGGTGTGCTGCAGAGTGGCCTGAAACGGCCCGATGTCCCTGCCTCCTGGTGTATCCAGCCCAAGGCCTCGCCTTGGGGACTGCAGGTCTGAAACGACGTCTGAACATACAAAAATAGGACAACAAATAAACAAATAAATAAATAGGTGCTGCCTCAAACTGTACCTGCGGCCTAAAGGCCGCCGTGGGCCTCCAGGGCGCATGTCGGATGGGCACGCGGCCTGGGGGGCCCTCAACAACCGTTGGGCCCCTCAAATGGGGCCCGTGTGCAGGCGCAGCATGTAACAGGCAAGCAGCACGTCAGCAATGTCGAAGACAGTGTGGCAAGCGCCATGTAAGCAATGTCGAAGACAGTGTGGCAAGCGCCGCGTCAGCAATCTAGTATATAGTTGGCGCCGAAAGCAGAGAGGCGCCAGCACACAATGCAGCAGTCTCGCGTCGTTGTCACACACAATGCCAGCGTAATGCCAACCTCAAGCCGACATCTAGCCAGCGTCCAGCCAGCGTTGTGCCAGCGTCGAGCAGCAAGTGCAAGACTGAATGTTGACCAACAGGGGCTGGGTCAAAACATAGTGTTGACACGATTGACCAGCCTCTGGTCTCTCAGGCACGAGGGCCCAGATTGATTCACAGTTGATGGCCTAGATCGTGTATAGTTGCAGACCTCCACTTGGACCAGATTCTGTTTGGTTCCCACATACAATCAAGTGTGTATGTCTGATCGATGGCCTTGACTGGGTCCGTGCAGACTTAGACTAGTGAGCCTCAATTTCCCAGCTACAGTTGACTGTTGACTTTCTTCAGTCAACTGTCGGGCGCAGGGCCATTGAAGCCTCATTTCGGGGCCCTTGTTCCATACATTCGGGCGCAGGGCCTTTTCGTGGCCTCGCTGTGGCCTGTGGGCAGCCCCTGGCCGACGACAAAAGCATATCTTAGTGGGTTATTGAATTGCTATCGTCCCAATTTTCGAGTTTCATTGCAGAAATTTTAACCTTTAGACTAGATTCTCTTTTAGTCCACGCTCATATGCAAAAACGATATCAGGAGCAGTTGGTAAGAGTTTTTTCTTACTGAACCATCTTGCGTCAGATGGAGGTTGAGACTTGAACTTTGTCTTACTTATACTGCTTTTGTGGCCTTCCTCTGCCACCTGTAAAAGAGTATGCATGTTCCAATAACTTCATATCCTCCATTCATAGAGGGAGGAAACATGGATTGCCGGTTAGGAAAATCATGCCCTTCTACATATGGAAGTAACTTGGTGAGGTGTGGGGGTACATCTATTATGTAGGAAGATCCATCGGTATCCCCGATCACCTTGAGAACTTTCCAGGGTCCATAATGGACAGGTAGCAGTTTATGTGACACATTTTGTTCTAAGGAAAATTCTTTAGACTTGACCCAAACAAAATCTCCTTCTTTGAACTATGATGGCCGACGATGTTTGTTAGCCTGTTCAATCATTTGTAATTGGGCTTTTTGAATATTTTCCTTTACATTATTTATGTCTTCTTCATACAAAACTGCAAATTCTCGTGTCCCTGKGGGTAGCTGTTGGACTCGGTCCCGGGTCAAAGCATCAATGGGACATCGCGACTTCCTTTGAGAAGTGCGTTCGGTGTTCGGTCCGTGACGGTGGGAACACTGTTGTTGTACGCACTTGCAATCTTAGGCAAGTTCTCATCCCAATCTATCTGATCTGGTCGTACATACATTCTCAAAAGTTGCTGGCACAGACGATTCATTTGTTCGGTTTGCCCATTCGTCTTAGGATGTCTTCCTGACGACATGGTCAATCAGGTGCCATAGGCCTCCATCAACTTTTGCCACTGTTGGCCAGTGAACCGTACATCCTGATCAGAGACGATCGTTTTCGGAAATCCATATTCTAAAACCCAAGGCATCTGGAACTTCTGGATGACGAGTTTTGTTCTAGCTTCGATGGGTAGAGGAATGAACATAGCATGTTTAGAAAATCGATCCACAATGATCATTACCTGGCTATTGCCATTCCGACTCTTGGTGAGACCCATAAAATCAATCGAGATAGACTCACCTGACTCACTTGGAATAGGTAGTGGTCACAACAGTCCCAATGGATTCTCATGCGAGGGCTTATTCCTTTGGCAAACAAGACAAGTTCGCACATATTTTAGCACATCCTCGTTCATCCCTTTCCATTCAAAGTGTTCCCTTACGTTAGCATACGTCTTCTTGAATCCGAAGTGTCCTTCAATGTTATGGCATTCCCCAATAATCGTACTTTTGATCTGTTCTTTGTGTGGAATGCAAAGTCTTTCTACGGTTTTGTCAATAAAGAAGAATAAGCCATCAGACATTTGATGTTCAGGGTTCCTTTGTAGGGTCTCAATGATAGGACTCCAAATTGGATCATCTGCGTAACCCTTACGGATTTTGTCTTTTAATTTGTTCCCAATATCGAGATAGAAGACAATGGTTCCAAATAAATCAAATCGTCTGGACAAAGCATCTGCAACAACGTTAGACTTTCCTTTTTCAATTCAAAGTCAAATGTATCAATGAATGCATACCATCTAAGTAACTTCGAAGATTCGTGGTTAGGTCTTTATCCACTTCAGAGTAGAGTAGTCTGAGTAAACAGTGAAGTATCTCTCGAGCAAGTAGTGTTTCTATGTGTCCAGAGCTGCAACTAAGGCATACAATTCCCTTTCGTACATGGAGTTGGCCACCTTGTCAGACAAAAGACGTTTGGACATAAACTCAATGGGTCTATATCCCTTGTCGTCATTTTGTTGTAGCACAACCCCAATCCCATACTAGCATCAGTAGTAACAATGAAATGTAGAGAAGGATCAACAATTTTCAAGACAAGATAGTGAGCACATGTTCTTAAATACAGACTCACAATCTTTGTCCCACAACCAAGGTATTTGTTTCTTCAATAGTCTTCTCATAGGCGTAGCTATCAGTGAGAAGTTTCTTACAAACTTGTTGTAGTAACAATGAAAGGTAGAGAAGAATCATCAATTCTTAAGACAAGATAGTGAGTTAACACATGTTTTAACTTCTTAAATACAGACTCACAATCTTTGTCCCATTACCAAGGTATTTCTTTCTTCAACAGTCTTCTCATGAGAGCCGGTTGTGAGGCGCAGCTATCAGTGAGAAGTTCCTTACAAACTTGTTGTAGTAACTAGCAAGTCCTAGAAAAAATCTTAGTTTAGTGACAGTCTTAGGTTTGGGCCAATCCCAAATTGCTGTTATTTTCTTCTCTTCAGGCCTTAATCCTTCTTCGTTCACTATGCGTCCAAGGATACCTCGGGTTTAGCAAACTCATATTTCTTAGGATTCAGTTTATAATTATCCTCTCGTAACTTCTATAGAACCAGTCGTAAGTGTTTTTCATGTTCCTCAATATCTTGTTGTACACAAGGATATCATCGAGATACACTACTACGAACTGATCCACCCATTGGCAGAATAATTTATTCATAGACCTTTGAAAAGTAGTAGGTGCATTAGTCAATCCGAAAGGCATAGCCACAAACTCGTAGTGCTCATACCTGGTTCAAAAGACTATCTTATGTTGATCTTCAGGTGCCACCTCGATCTGGTGGTATCCCGACTTCAGATCAATCGTACTGTACATCCCCGCAACTGATCAAGCAAATTATCACTGCGAGGAAGGGGTTCCACAGTAATAGAATTTAATCCTCGATAACTGATACACAGTCTAAGTTTTCCTTCCTTTTTGGGCACGAATAAGACAGGAGCACCATACGGAGAGGAACTTGGTGTAATCCATCCTTTCTCTGTAAGTTTTTGCAGTTGTTTCGTTAACTCTTCAAGTTCCTTAGGAGACATTCGATAGATGGGTCGTTTGGGAATCTTACTTCCGGGAATTATCTCAATCATGTGCTTAATAACACGTTCAGTGATTCCGTAGACTTTTTTCTCTACGAGGAAATTCACTTCATGCAATATTTTTTTTCCTTCCTTCATTTGAAAATAGCATTTCACACGACTAACATATTGAAAGATAGTGATCGTGCTTGTATCTGTAAGCATATACGTGATAGGTCGAAAAAGGTCTTGCACTCTTATTTCCGGATACAATTTCTTTATTGCCTTTTTTCTGAGATGTTGGACCACGTTGACCCAGGATCTAACAAAGCACCTACTCGTGTACGTGCAATCTCAAGATCAACAATCATCAATTCACCCTTAGACTTCGCTTTCTTAGTCCACAAACTTCTCAATGCAATCAATTCATCCCCAAGTTCGTCAAGGGTATCGCCCAGAGAGACATAACACAAAATAATTTCAGGTTGTTTTGAGCGATGGGTCGAAAAAAAGTCATCCTCTGCCATGCGAGTTAGGGGCTTGAAAGGGGTTTTAGGTGCCTTACCTTTTCCTAAACCCTCCAACTTAGTAGGAGCATACGCTACTCCTACTGGCTGCTCCTTTTTGGGTTATGGATGAGAGGGCACCATGCAATAATATGCCCTACAGTGCCGTACTTTAGGCAATGCCGAGTGTTCATCCGCTCCTGCCACTCTTCTCGTGTCATGTTCATCTTTTCCTAGGGCCTTTCCACCGCTATGTCGGGATGCTCCAGGAAGGAGTGTGGCCTCTTCTTCTTGTATCCTCCTGAATTGGTGCCACCCTTGTTGGCCACCATGGCAGTGACGTCACCCTTCCCAGACTCAGTGCTACTATTTGCTACACCCTCGACTTCATCGAGGGGCCACTTCTCCATCGTGTCGTCATCAAAGACGACGAGGGTGTGATCCTGCCTCTTCTGCCTCCGCAAGATCCTTTTGCCATTTTTGAACCCACCTAACGGACCACTTCGTACAACGGACGCATAAGTGTCTTTCACCTGTGCAGTCATTTGCTCGCTCTGGAGCGCGAGGTCGCGGATTTGTAGATAGTTATACTTACCGGACTTGGCTTCGGCCACGAGTTGTCCACGAATGGGCTCGGGCAGCACACCGGAGTAGATGTAAAGGACCTGGTTATCCTGCAAGTTCAAACCGGGTACCTACAACAGACGGTCCACTTCGCGAGACAAAGCATCCACAGTGGTGCAACGCTTCTGACTAATGGTAGTAAGCTCGTCAAAGGCCTTGTCGATCGTCGTTTTGTCAAGGATTCTCTCCTTGATCTTTTGGAAAAATTCCCTGAGCGTCATGCTTTTTGCTCACTCACCTATGTCTTCAAAACCGGCAGCGTTGGCCTCAGACAGGACCCGCTCCTTTGCAACTTCACCAAGACATGAGGTCGAGAAAGCAACTTGACTTTCCATCTCGACTGGAGTGGTACTGTAGTACATTTGGATTTCTGCAATCCACAACAACAAGTGTTCCCCGCGCTTTCCATTGCACATGAAAGGAAGTTTCATTTTAACCTTTTCTTTCTTCTTGGGGCGTTCCCCTTCTTTCTTTGCCACTTCCTTCTTTTAAGGTACGGGTTCTTTCTTCATCAGCTCCTCTGTCGGTTCCTCTTTCTTTGAGGTCTCAGGTTCTTTCTAAGACTTCATGGCATCTTTCATTAACTTTTCCTGGGGTTCTTTCCTTTCTTTCTTCTCCTCGGCCTCCACCTCAAGCACAACTTTCTTCTTTCCCTTTACCAATCTCGTCACCGTCTACAGTTCAGCGGTGACGTTGTCAATTTTTAAATCTAGATGTGCAAGATAGGCCATCATATTTTGCAATACAGATGCCAAGTCAGTTTCTGATTCAACGAAATGGAATTTTTGTCTAGTGTCTTTTATCGTCTTATCAGATGTGTATAAGAGACAGTAATTCAGCTAAATGAAATTTATGTTCAATCTCTTCCACCTTTTTAGCTTGTTGTTCCTGTTCTTTCATCTTCCTCTGGTATTCTTCTTTCTTTCTGATCTCTGCATTCAATGCATCTTGCAACTGCTTAGTAGTGGTTTCTATTATTTCTTCGGCAAGTTCAGTTTCTTCTTTCTTTTCACTTGCTTCTCCCCTTTCTTATCCCTTGGCCACATCACCGACTATCTTCACCAACTGCTTGGCCACAAATTGATCGAGGGTCATTCGGCGGCGGTCAATTATCTGTTGCGCTCAACCTCTGACCTCCAACACCTGAACAACAGTTTCAGCCTGAACTAGTCTGGCTGCGAACATGTTGCTCAACTTCTGGCCCAGAGTCATGCACTTCAGTGAGCAGCTGGTGAAGACGGCCCAGCATCTGTTGTCGTCTTGTTTCCACTTGACTACGGGTTCATAGTTCACCACCACCTTCATCAGCGAAGAAGGTGATCGAGATGGGGAAAAAGAAGAAAGAGATGAATCGGGTCAGAATGGACGCACACAAGCAGTTCGAGAGGTAAGTCACCCCAGTGTGTGAATGTCGCACAATAAATTTTACACGACAATAATAAATTCCATGGCCACATTTCCTTAGATTTTCTTTGCAGCAAGAATTAGTAAGACATAAATAAATAATGAATCAGAATGTTCAATTAATTTCCATAATTCCTAACTCTGCTGATTTTTTATGTGATGACATTCCTACTTGAGAGCGTACAGGTACCGCAGCCACGACCAATGTGATCAAGATAACAACACAATTGGTGAGTAGCAAGCATCCACAGAACAGCCCAGGTGAGTAGAGTCAGCCAACAACAACACAAAACAATCAAGGTGTCAGCTGCCCAGCCTCTTGCTGTCTCATTGAAGATACTTGTGCCAGGCACCAGGACTGACGTGTGGCACTACGGCGTAACCCAGTGCCGTACCGCCCGTCAATGCACCGAGTGCAAGTGTCAATTCCCCACCAATCTTCACGGTACATGGCAACACACGTCTTCCTTGCCACATGTCATATCCCAGTCTGGCTAACATAGCACCTCCACGGAGTATGCCACGTCAATGGCCAGCAAGGCCGTCAAATGGGAAGTCACAATAGCCACGTCAGCAGCGCACAATCTGCCAAGCCCATTCGTCACTGGTATGCCACGTCAGACTAAAGATATCGCGGGAGCCTTGGAAGCGCCACGCCAGCAGGTAAGTCGCGACACAAGTACGTGCCACATCAGCAGGTAAGTCGGCGTCGCGACACAGGTAAGTGCCACGTCAGACGATACCCCGCTGATCCTTTGGATGCCATGTCAGCACCAATGCGCCATGCCAAGTAGGCAGCGCTCTCAATGCCACGTCAGTTGTTTTCTCACACTCTCTCTCTCTCTCTTCTCTGGTCGATCGTCCAGCGCCACGTCAGCACCTCGACCAACGATGCTCTCGTCGGTTACCAATCGCCACCTCAGCAACAATGCGCCACGTTAGCAATGTCGGCGGTCTTCGTCTTCAAGTCCACGTCATCATCTCCAGCAGGTGACTGCGTGCGCGCGTCAATGTTAGTGTCTAGATCGCTATTAGATCCCGCGCGTCGATAGACGCGATTCAATTGGCGTGCGTACCATGGCGCGTCACGGCGCACAACAACAGATCGCGACGAAGGAGGTAAGCTCCGATACCCAATTGTAATGAACCCAGTCAGGAGAGAAACTCATCAAATGTCGAAATACATGATGTCTCAGCGCTGATCAATGTCCCCAATAATCATGAAATGTGATCTAAAGTACAATGTTTCGTAACCATAGGACGGAGCTGAGAGGAGGGAGATAAGATAGATCTCCCTCACAACTCACTCCTACTTCGGGCATCTCCCCTTGCCCGCATCAGCAAACAGTATCTCATAGACGAGCCTGACAAGATATGATCACAACATAGTGCCATGTAGGCACATATCTCTCATGAAGACGTCACAACAGCGCGCAAGGTCGACAACATCATCACAGGTAAGTTTCCTCTCTCTCTCTCTCAACCAATCCCACAGCCCTGGTCCCCCTCCTCATCGATTCCCCAATCTGAGTCGAAGACAGTGTGGCAAGCACCACATCAGCAATGTCGAACACGGTGTGGCAAGCGCCACGTCAGCAATCAAGTATACAACTGGCGCTGAAAGCGGAGAGGCACCGGCACGCTATGCAGCAGTCTCGCGTCGTCATCACCCACAATGCTAGCGTAATGCCAACCTCAAGCCAGCGTTTAGCCAGCGTCATGCCAGTGTCGAGCAGCAAGTGCAAGACTGAATGTTGACCAACAGGGGCTGGGTCAATAAGTAGTGTTGACGCGATTCACCAGCCTCTGGTCTCTCAGGCACGAGGGCCCAGATTGACTCACAATCGATGGCCTGGATTGTGTACAGTTGCAGACCTCCACTTGGACCAGATTCTGTCTAGATACCTGCATACAACCAAGTGTGTGTGTCTGATCGGTGGCCTTGACTGGGCCCGTGCAGACTTTGACTTGTGAGCCTCAATTCCTGAGCTACAGTTGACTGTTGACTTTCTTCAGTCTAACTGTTGGGCGCAGGGCCTTTGAAGCTTCATTTCGGGGGTCTTGTTCCATACATTCGGGCGCAGGGCCTTTTCGTGGCCTGTGGGCGGCCCCTGGCCAACGACAATAACATATCTGAGCGGATTATTGCATCTTGTTCCACCATGCACTTAGCTCAAAATGATTACATCAACAAAACTTCGAGTTGCTTGCAGAATACTTGATCCATCATATTTTGCGGAATGCAATCCACTACGTGTCTCAAATTTAGTCTTGCACTGATCTGCAAGATCGACTTCAATAACCAGATTGAGATCGACCTTGGAAGGAGTTTGTAGCGCACAACCCCTTCAAGAAGGCTGTCAAATTGTGAAGTAAGGGATAGGCATTTTTTTTGCATGATTTGGTTAAGACCTCGATAGTCAATGCACATGCAGAGCTTGCCATGCGTTGGACAAAGAAAGTTGGGCCTCCACACCATGGTTGACCAGGTTTGATCCATCTTTTGGCAAGCAACTCCTTGGTCTGGTTCTGCAGTCTTCAAGTTGAGCTGGCTCAAATCTTGGGATCTTGACAGACTTGACGATCATCAAGTAATTCTCCTGTGAATGTGTGCATGGTATTGATGATCAAGCACAGTACATATCTTCTAAGAGAGAGAAACATATTGCTTGAAAGCTACCAGGGTTCCTAAGGATCACAGAAGTTCAGCTGCTAATTTTGCATTTGACCCATTATGCCCTCACAGGTCAGTTACGCCCTTGACGAGTCTCTGATTGAGTTTGGATCAGCTGTTGAGGATAGAGATTATGACAGAGCTGTGGACATCCTTGAACCACTTGAGCTAACGCCAGAGACTGAGGCCATGTGGCAACAGGTCAGTGACTTGCTGAAGTGGAATCCTCGTCAGTAAGTCTTTGAGTCCAACGGCCTTCAGATAATAATTTCAAATTCCTTTCACTCTCCGTTCATGTTTGTTGTACTGGATTCAATTCTGGAGATCTCAAATGACTTCCTTTTTCTTTCCTTTTCTGCGTATCTGTTACATAGTGGAGGAGCATTGCAACCACATTATCGAACCTGCCAACTTAAGCCAAATGACATTGAGTCATCCTCATACCTAGCCTCCTCAGATTGAGGCCCCGATAAAATTTTCCCTCCTGATGCAAAATCAATTCTTCCCATAGCCTATTCTCAGACTGATCACAACTGACCCACCTGTGTGCAGAAGGGGTGTCCGTCAGACATAGCGTCCTCAGATGTCTCCTAGGCATAGTATAACTCAGACTAAGTTTGAATTTTGCTGTGTGCATTGTGGCCAGAGAGTGATGTAAAAAGCGTAAATATACCACATGAGACCGTCTGTTCTGTGCTTGTTGGAACCACTCGTTCAATCCATGCGGTTGGATAAATGAAATGTCTTGTCCATCTCTCTGCGGACTACTGCACTGTTTCCTTTGCTATCACGCCTGAGGGAACAGACAGTGCAAAGGAGCAATTCATTTGGTATCCCATCTCTACAGACATTCTCTACACGGCTTGAGCAACTGGCCATTCCTGAAGAATGTACCATCATTAAACCCAAGCTGGAGCACCCATTTGTTTTCATCTGCTAGAGCAAAATGCATCCTCATACATTCCTGAAAGGCAACCATCAATATGCGAGGATCAGGGTCCTCGGCAGGCCTGTGGGGCCCTGTTTGCAGCATTGCCCGCCCTAAGTGAAGGCGGGGGTGCCCGCCCTAAGTGAAGGCGGGCCTGACATATCACAAGAGGCCCTCGACTGTCAATTTCATATTTGGGGTCCAGGCAGTTGCGACGCACCAGTTGGTTAAGTGAAACTCAGGCCGAGCAACAAAGACATTTCCACGGCCTTCCGGGCCTTTCCAAAGAATGCAGGCCCTGGGCGTGATTCGCAGCCTCATACAGAGACAGTTGGGCGCCCAACCGAACGAGGCCCAGCAGCCCAGTAGCTGCTGTACACAGGCASCCTCCTGGGGCCTTCCGGAAGCTGCTGGGSCCAGGCCAGTGCAGCCAGGCTGCACGAGCAGGCCAGTTCTTTCCATAAAGGAAAGAGCTCAGGGCTGGCAGCCTCATTCGGTCACTTGCTGGCTGGCGGCAGCGCTGCTGGAGCAATTRCTCGCGGGCTGGCTGCCGGCATTGGAGCAAGTGGCTGCGCACGTGCGGTCGTGTGTGGGAGCAGGGCGCTGCTGAGGGCAGCGCCATAGCCAGCCTCCATAGCGGGCTGGGCTTGGATACACAGTGAGGCGCAKGGGTGGTCTTCGKGTACAAGAGAGGACAGGTGTGGGTGTTAAGTCARGGAAGGGCGAAGGATGATGATGATGATGATGTGAGGGCACTTACCTTGTATTGGCGATGGTCTGCATATGGGCGACATCTTCAAGTACTTCGGGTTGCCGCTGATGTCAACAGTTGCATTGTCTATTATTAGGCTGATCGTAGCTGTGTAGGAGTAGGCTGGGCGCTGAGCGCCAAGTAGGAGTCTGAAGGGACTGGACTCTTGTGTTGCTGAAGGAGAGAGAAAGCTCTCCATGAGATTGGTTTTCAGTATTACTAACCTCCATTGGTGTATTATTGGTGCAATGCTGCTCTCTGGACACAGTGTGACTATCTGGCTTTTAATGGGATGGTGTAATCTGGATTTGTCATCTCGCTGTTGCTTATTTTCCTTGCAATTTGGTATCGGCTGGTTCATATTGCGCTTCATTGGTTCTTCGCAATAGCTATCGGTGCTTCGCATGAGGTGTGGGGCAGTGATAAGGCATTGGCGTGGAACATTAGGCGGCCCAGGGTAGAGTGGGCGCGCCAGGGAGCTATGAGGTGACATACGGGGTGTATGCTGGATGATGAGAGCTCGCTGATGTGGCATATTAAGCGGAGGTGGAACCGCATTCTGCTGTTGGTTGTGCCGAGGCAAAGACCGGTCATCATAATTGCACATCAGGTTGCCGGTGAGAAATCTGTGGTTGGGGGCAGCATTTATGAGGTAAGTTGCTCTCTTCCTTATCTACCCTCTTCATTGCTTCTTACCGTGAGGAAGTGAGTTCTGTCTTGAGAGTCCTCTCAATGTGAGGTGTCGCGAGTGCTCAACCTTGAGAGTCGACATTCTTCCTGGGCAGCAAGCTGGTGGGAGACGGGCGAAGCCTCTGAAGGGCCCTGGAGGAAGCACTCGGGTCATGGTCACCATGCCAGCCCGCTGGGACTAGTACACGCATGCTTTGCCGCAAGTCCTTGGTTCTACTGCTTGCACAATAGAGGTCATGCAGGGCATGCCAGCCCTTTGGACAGACGCTGACCAGACCGTCTTTAAATATTTCTGGTTGCGGACTTGGTGTTGAACCTGGCTGTGATCGTCGTCCTGTCTGTGACGTTAAATAATTCCTGAGGAGATGGGGGCTCTCCTTAAATCCCTCCTGATCAGCCAGATCAAACCAGGTGTAAGGCTCGTTGCATGCGAGGATAAATAAAGTGCAGGGGCTGGCAGGTTCGGCGTAGACTTGGGGCATAGGGGTGGGCCGGATTGCACACCTTCAGACACGCTGCTCAACCAGATGCTCAGGACGTTGACACAAAGTGACCAATCAAGAAGGATACAGGGGGAGGGGGGATTCCGGTAACAGTTCACAGTGGCAATTAACAGACAATCTGCCATTCAGCATACATCTCCAACAGGAGATGCTATTTTTATTTTTTGATTATCTAGTTGTTACAGATTTGACTAACAACTGACAGACAACTGCAGATAGATTAATTTTTTGCTGCATTGCAATCTGTTCTAGGATAATCTAAAAATAGATAAGATATTTCCTGTAGGATCTGACATTAGTTGATTAGTTGTGATTTCCTCTAGGATAATCTAAAAATAGATAAGATATTTCCTGTTTCTGTTCCATCCGGCCGAAATGTAGTAACCCTATTCAGAAGTAGCCCAGGGCCCAGAACTCAGCCCCAGGCCACGCAGACCAGAATTGGTCTGCGCTGGGCTGTGTGACCAACACATGCCCAAAACTGAGAAGGCCGCACGTGGCTATGGGACCAAGTGCTAAGATCAGGAAATTCAAGAGTCAAAGTCAACTGTCAAGTCAAAGGTACAACGCCAGGCCCTTGGTTGGATACATCCACTTGTTGTGCGCAGGTACCAAGACATGCATCCAGGCCGAAGAGGATACAGTTTCAGATCGATCCATGCCCTTCCCGGTGTCAAGATCTGGACGGCTGGAGTCTGCAGCAGCCGGGGTCCAGACCCCGAGTCGACGCTACATAAGCGTGGACTCCCTGGCTTTGACATTCATTCTTTCTGTCTTGCGTTGATGCTGCTCTACACGTTGACGGCACGTCGCTGGCTGGACACTGCGACGCTGGTGGACGCTGGCATTACGCTGGCATTGGCGAGATAGCAGCAACACGCTGCTGGCTGGTGCGCTTACTGGCTGGCTACTGTCTTCAAGGCTTGCTGACGTGGCATTGCCACGTGTTGCTGCTGACGTGGCTGCTGCCACATGTGACATTGCCGGGTCTACAGGACCGACATTGCTGTTCTATTCCATCATCACTTCAGGGAGATATCAAGGCTGTTTCGTCGTCAGTTCAGGAGGAGATCGGGACTGTGAGGAGGTTGTGGATACGTACCTGGGATCTTCATGTCAATGTGACTCCAGCGCTGATGAGAGGTTGATCGGGTGCCACGTGGCACATTGTAACAGGACTTCGATATGTGTTCAGATTACTGGTTATTGTGAGGTGGCGGTCAAGGAAGGAGCCCGGAGAAGGAGNGGTTATTGTGAGGTGGCGGTCAAGGAAGGAGCCCGGAGAAGGAGTGGGCATTGTATCTTCCTCTCCTTTGTCTTATCTCCCTCCTTCCTCTTCGTCTGTGTATGATTATCTCACCTCTCTCTTTTTGGATACTATTTGATTATTGGAAACTACCAGTGGCTCGATAATCTGGACTTGCACTGTTGACATTCGTATTCATGACTTGGGTTCATTGCAATTTGGTATCGGAGCAGTACTCCTATCTACGATGACGATGACGACGACGAAGATGCACGTGTGCAAGCGCCAGGTGGCGCCAGGTAAGTATGAGGAAGTGCTCAATCGCGATTATAATCGCGCGACAGTCTAGACAGGGCACGTACCTCCTTTGAAGACCTGCACACGTGACAAGATGATGATGAGGAAGCTGTGCTGTTGATGACGACGAAGACTGCTGGTGAGAAGACTATTCAGGATACCGATCCCAACACACGTGCTGACGTGGCAGTTGGGATACCAGTCGGGATCGCGACAGAAGGTCGCGACAGTCTGCTGACGTGGCATAAGATGTGCCACGTCCCAGGATCTGGTTGCTGATGTGGCAAGTACCATGCGACCAGATCCTGAGCAGGAGCTGACGTGGCTCTTGGAGGTGCTTATTGCTGACGTGGCAGGAGAGGATTACCGCACTTGTCTTTTGATGTGGTGATAACCTGCTGACGTGGCATTACTCCTTGGGCTGACGTGGCATTGTTCCGATTGGCTGGCTTGACGACAGTATCACAAGACGACACGTGGATGAGGCACGTGGGAAGGACAGGGAATACATTGCTGACGTGGCATCCCATCATTTGTTGATTGGACTTCGCTGACGTGGCAAGTTTGCTATGTTGGTATGCCAGGAATGACACGTGGCAGACAGGAAGCTGCCTAAGTGAGAGACTGCATTCCGACGACGACGGCAGTACGGTTGATTGAATGGTTGATTGGACAGCCGTAGTGCCAGCTGTCGAGCAGTGTGCTATAACGCATTAGCACATGGATTGACGCAAGGAAGAAGAAGATCGTTGACACATTGTTGTTGTTTGGTGTTGGTATACTTATCTTGTGTTGCTTGTTGTGGTGTTGTGCGTACTCACTTGTGTGCTGCATCTGATCACACGACCTGAAGTGGTACTTGTAGAATCTGGACGTCATCACATAGACCAAGAACAGAACAGCATTAGTAGAAAGGTGAATTTATTTTTCTTATCTTGCTGTTGAAGTATTGTGCGGTTGTGGAATTTATTGTTTGTCTGATAATTGTTTATTGTGCAGCAAACGCATATAACAATGTCTCAATCCTTCGAGACTCAAACTGTTGGGGAGCTACCTGATCCACGAACCAAGCAACAGATAGCCGAGCGGAAGAAAGTATTAACCGCCCGCTTGGCTACCTTGATTTCTGAACTTCATGACGCTGGTGCCGAGGCGGAAGCCCACGTCCGGAGTCAGTTTGACTTGGAAGTAGCACATGCTGCTCTCGAGGCAGCTGAGACGAGCACTAATGTCATCTAAGTTCAGGAGGTATTTATCAAGTGTCGTCAGACACTTGATAAGTACATTATGGACCAGTTTACTGAGATTGCTAATGGAAGTGAAAAGAAAGAAGTGTCTGTGACTGAGGAAACCGTGGATGAGAATATCCGTCAGCTTGAAGAAGCGCTCGAGAGAGAGAAGAACCGAAAGCAGGAATTCAGAAGAGAAAAAGAAAGAAATAGACAGCAAGAACAGGAAATAGAAGAGATCAGACAGAATGTGGTGATAACGGAAGGGGAAGAACAGACCGTTTCTTGGAATCAACTTGTGAATTATCTCGCTCACCTTGAAGTGAAACTTGATCAGTTTGGCATGCGACTTGAGGAGCTTACCGCATGCCTACAGACTGTCACGAATCTGGTCAAAGGAAAGAACAAAGTGGTTGAGCAGGAGAAGGAAGAAAAAGCCAAGAAACTGATGGGAGAGGCGATGAAGTCTCTCAAGATAGAAACACAGACATCGGAAGGAAAGAAACCTGAAGAAAAGAAAGGGGAACCGTCGAGTCCGCCGGGTTCTCCAAACGGAAAGAAAGAAGGCCCTGCATAACCGGAGAAACCAAAGAACAAGGACAAAGTTAAAATGAAACTGCCTTTCACGTTTTGCAATAAGAAGGACAAAAATTTGCTATTGTGGATTGTTGAGATTTAGACATATTGTGGTACGGCCCCTGTTGAGCCTGAATCCCAAGTGGCTTTCTCTACTTCTTGCTTAGGGGGGGAGGCTAAGGAATGGGTTTCGGCCGAAGTCAACGCAGCCGAGTTCGATGACATTGGGGACTGGGCTAGGACAATGACGCTGAAGCAGTTCCTTGGAAAGATCAAGGAACGCTTCTTGGACAAGACCACGGTCGATAAGGCCTTCGACCAGCTCACAACCATTGGTCAGAAACATTGGACCTCGGTGGAAGCCCTGCCTCGGGAGGTTGACCGGTTGCTGCAGGTTCCAGAATTGAACTTGCAAGACAACCAAGTCTTGTACATATACTCCCGTGCTCTGCCCGAGCCCATCCGGGGACAGCTCGTGGCAGCTAAATCTGGCAAATATAAGTATAGGCAGTTCCGTGATTTGGCTCTCCAAAGAGAGCAAATGACATCTCAGGTTAAAAACACATATGCATCTTTTGTGAAGTATGGTGGTGGTGCAGGTGCAGGCAAGCGAGTACTCTGGCGCCAAAAGTGTCAGGACCACACCCTCGTCGTCTTTGGCGACGATACTATGGAGAAGTGGTCGTTGGAGGCCGAGGGTGTGACGAGCAGCAGTGAGTCCGGAAAGGGGGACGTCACTGCTGTCGTGGTCAATAAGGGAGGACCACGACCACCAAGAAAAAGGAGGAGGCCGCGCTCGTTCCCGGAGCATCCCGGTATTGCGGTCGGGAAACCCTGGGAGAAGATGGATATGGACCAAAAGACTTGGCAAGAACGGATGGACTATGCGCAATGCCTAAAATGTGGAACTGCGGGGTATGTGATTGCATGGTGCCCGTTAATCCGGAACCCAAAAGCGAGCCGCCAGTAGGAGTAGCATCTGCTCCTACTGAGTTGAAGGGTTTAGATGATGAGAAAGGTAAGGCGCCTACTAACCCTTTCAACCCTTCGACTCGCATGGCAGAGGATGTATCTTCTCCAGTCCATTGTCCAAAACACCATGAACCTGTCTTATGTACTGTCTCTATGGACGACTCCCTTGACGAGCTTGGTAACGAATTGCTGGCATTACGAAGCCCGTGGGCGAAGAAGTCAAAGTCTAAGGGTGAACTCTTACTCGCGGATATAAAAATCGCACACGTACGCGCGGGTGCACTACTAGACTCAGGGTCTACGCGATCCTACATATCCGAGAAAGCAAGAATGAAGGTAAAGAACTTGTCTCGACCTATCACGTCTATCCTGGCAGACAAAATCACGATCACTGTCTCACAATATGTTGATCGTGTGAAGTGTCGCTTCCGTACGAGGGACGGAAAGAAGATCATGCATGAAATTTCTTCTCTTATTGAGAAGAACTTACCGTTTGACATGATTCTGGGTATGGATTGGCACGAGGAAGCCAACCCAGACATCAAGTTCAAAGATAAGGTTGTGCAATTGCGGGACGCACAATCAGAACTGAAAGCTATCAAATTGTATCATTAGTTTGGCTCTGACTCAAGTTTGTCTTTTTGTCGCAACCTTTCGTTCGATGGTTTCAAAGAAAAAACTGAAACAGGAAGTAATGATGGTCCTAGTAAAGCAAGTTGGCGAGTCCTCTACTTCCTATCCACCCTCGATTGAAAAACTCCTAGATGAGTATACTTAATTGAACCAACAGGAACGACTGAGCGTGCCATAAAGCACACCATTGAGATTATTCCTGACAGTAAGACTCCCAAGGGCCCTATTTATAAAATGTCTCCTAGGGAACTTGAGGAACTGAGGAAACAACTCCAGGACTTAACTGAGAAAGGATGGATTCGCCCTAGCTCTTTTCCTTATGGCGCTCCTGTCTTGTTTGTGCCTAAAAAGGAAGGTGAGTTACGTCTTTGCATTGATTATAGAGGGCTGAACTCTGTCACTGTCAAAAATGTTGAACCCCTACCGCGTATTGACGACTTGTTGGACCAGTTGCAGGGCTGCAAGTACTTTAGCAAGATTGATCTAAAGTCTGGATACCACCAGATCGAGGTGGATCCCGCAGATCAACACAAGACTGCTTTCTGAACAAGGTATGGTCACTACGAGTTCGTGGTAATGCCTTTCGGACTGACGAATGCCCCAGCGACCTTCCAAAGGTCCATGAATGAATTATTCTGTCAATGGTTGGACCAGTTCGTCATTGTGTATCTTGATGATATTCTAGTGTATAGTAAAACACTAGAAGATCATGAGAAACACCTACTTCTTGTATTGGGGAAGTTGCGAGAAGGTAACTTCAAACCGAACCCGAAGAAATCTGAGTTCGCTAAGTCGGAAGTCCTATACCTAGGGCATATAGTGAACGAAGATGGTCTAAGGCCTGAGGAAAAGAAAATATCAGCAATTAGAGATTGACCACAACCTAAGTCAATCACCGAATTATGCTCTTTTCTTGGTTTGGCAAGTTACTATAGGAAGTTTGTTAGGAACTTCTCACTGATCACCGCACCAATGAGGAGATTGCTAAAGAAATGAACTGTATGGTTGTGGGATAAGGACTGTGAGTCTGCATTTAAGAAACTAAAGTATGCATTGACCCACTATCCTGTTCTGAAAATTGTTGACCCATCTCTTCCCTTTATTGTTACAACTGACGCAAGTCAGTACGGAATTGGCGTCATCCTTCAACAGGACAATGGCAAAGGTTACAGACTAGTTGAATTTATGTCTGCCCGATTGCCCACTGAAAAAGTTGCCAACTCCACATATGAAAGGGAATTGTATGCCTTAGTCTGTGCTCTGAAAACCTGGAAGCACTACTTGTTAGGGAGACACTTCACTGTGTACTGAGACCACTCTACCTTGCAGTGGATAAAGACACGCCTAAGCTCTCTGACAAACTGGTATGATGGTCTGCTTTTCTTGATACCTTTGACTTTGAACTGAAAACAATCAAAGGAAAGTCTAACACGTTTGCAGATGCATTGTCCAGGCGAAGTGACTTCTTCGGGACTATTGTCTCTTATTTGGATGTGTGGAGTGATTTGAAGAAAAAAATTTGCCAAGGGTATGCTAGTGATCCTATCTGGAAGCCTATCCTTGACACTATTGTCAAAGACCCATCTCTACTTCCCAACTACAAAATAGCCGATGGTTTGCTTTTCTTGATTGACCAAACTGAACAAAGACTTTGTATCCCTCACAAAGAAGAGATTAAAAGTCTGGTGATTGGAGAATGTCACGACTTTGAGGGGCACTTTGGGTTTAAGAAAACTAACGCTGAGGTCAGAGAACGCTTCGAGTGGAAGGGACTAAAGGAAGATGTACTAACCTACGTTCGTACCTGTCTGGTGTGCCATAGAAACAAACCTTCACACGAGAACCCTCTTGGTCTACTGAGACCATTGTCGATTCCGAGTGAACCAGGTGAGTCTATCTCAATGGACTTCATGAGTCTCACAAAGAGCCGCAATGGCAATAGTCAAGTGATGGTTATTGTTGACCGTTTCTCTAAGTATGCTATGTTTGTTCCCTTACCTGCTGAAGCACGGACTGAACTTGTGATTCAGAAATTTCAGATGCGATGGGTGACTGAATATGGGTTTCTATTGTGTCTGATCGAGATGCGAGATTCACAAGTATGCTATGGCAAAAGCTGATGGAGGCATACGGTACTCGTTTGACCATGTCGTCAGGGCGACACCCTGAAATGAATGGGCAAAGTGCACAAATGAACTTCTTGTGCCAACAGCTCTTGCGTATGTACGTAAGACCCGATCAGATCGATTGGGACGAGAACTTACCCAAAATAACCAGTGCATATAATAGCAGTGTTCATACTGCAACTAGACGTACACCTAATGCACTGCACAAGGGGTGGAAACCGAGGCATCCCATTAATGTATTAACACGGGACCAATTTCCCAGGTTACCGCCAGGGACTCGTGAATATGCAGTATTGTTTCAAGAAGACATTAAGAAAGTGAAAGAGAACCTAAAGAAAGCTCAAGAACAAATGATAAACCGAGCTAATAAGCATTGTCGACCATCGACATTCAAGGTAGGTGATTTAGTTTGGGTCAAGTCTAAAGAGTTCTCACTAGAAGAAGATGTGTCTCAGAAACTCCTGCCTGTCTATTTTGGACCCTGGGAAGTTCTCAAAGTCATTGGGGATGTTGAGGGACCATCTTATCGCATTGATATTCCCCCTCATCTTAAGACTTATCCTGTCTTTCATGCGTCCAAACTATTGCCTTATGTAGAAGGAAATGATTTTMCTAACAGACCCTCTATGATTCCACCATCAATGGAAGGAAGCTATGAAGTCGACAGAATCATAGAACACGGGTTCTTTTCTACAGGAGCACGTGAACGTCCTCAAAAGCAGTTCAAGGTACGTTTCAAATCTCAACAACCATCAGAGGACCGATGGTTCAGCAAGAAGGAACTACTTGAGACTGCTCCTGACATCGTTGCTGCTTATGAACGAGGGTTAAAGTCTTAATTATTTCTGCGGTGGAACTCGAAAATGGGACAGCAGGAATGTAGTAACCCTGTTCAGAAGTAGCCCGGGGCCCAAAACTCAGCCCCAGGCCACGCAGACCAGAATTGGTCTGCGCTGGGCTGTGTGACCAACACATGCCCAGAACTGAGAAGGCCGCACGTGGCTATGGGACCCAAGTGCTAAGATCAGGAAATTCAAGAGTCAAAGTCAACTGTCAAGTCAAAGGTACCACGCCAGGCCCTTGGTTGGATACATCCACTTGTTGTGCGCAGGTACCAAGACATGCATCCAGGCCGAAGAGGATACAGTTTCAGATCGATTCATGCCCTTCCCGATGTCAAGATCTGGATGGCTGGAGTCTGCAGCAGCCGGGGTCCAGACCCCGAGTCAACGCTACATAAGCGTGGACTCCCTGGCTTTGACATTCATTCTTTTTGTCTTGCGTTGACGCTGCTCTACGCGTTGACGGCACGTCGCTGGCTGGATGCTGCGACGCTGGTGGACGCTGGCATTACGCTGGCGTTGGCGAGATAGCAGCAACACGCTGCTGGCTGGTGCGCTGACTGGCGGGCTACTGTCTTCAAGGCTTGCTGACGTGGCATTGCCATGTGTTGTTGCTGACGTGGCTGTTGCCACATATGACATTGTCGGGTCTACAGGACCGGCATTGCTGTTCTATTCCATCATCACTTCAGGGAGATATCAAGGTTGTTTCATCGTCAGTTCATGAGGAGATCGGGACTGTGAGGAGGTTGTGGATACGTACCTGGGATCTTCATGTCAATGTGACTCCAGTGCTAATGAGAGGTTTATTGGGTGCCACGTGGCACATTGTAACAGGACTTCGATATGTGTTCAGATTACTGGTTATTGTGAGGTGGCGGTCAAGGAAGGAGCCCGGAGAAGGAGNGGTTATTGTGAGGTGGCGGTCAAGGAAGGAGCCCGGAGAAGGAGTGGGCATTGTATCTTCCTCTCCTTTGTCTTATCTCCCTCCTTCCTCTTCGTTTGTGTATGATTAGCTCACCTCTCTCTTTCTGGATACTATTTGATTATTGGAAACTATCAGCTGCTCGATAATCTGGACTTGCACTGCTGACATTCGTATTCATCTTGGGTTCATTGCAGAAATTAGTTGTGATTCATAATCGGTTGTGTGTCAGGCTAAGGTAGGATTCAGTGTGGATTCTAGTTTAGATCACACACACTGTAGCTCATGAGTGATGCAAGCACTAGTGAGGAGGAGTTGTTAGTGGACGACCGTAGGACTACTCGTGGGACTGCTCGTAGTCAACCCTTGACATTCTTGGGGTTAGGTCCAGGAGACGAGAGAAGACTGCGGAGAGAGGCTAGAGAGAGAGCAGCGGCAAGGAGGGCGAGGGCAATTGAGGATAGTGCCAGGACTAGAGTTTCAGCTAGCACCGGTGCAGCCATGGCTACTTCATCTACCATGTCGCAAACATCTTCACAGTCCACTTCGTCAGGAGTCAGTCAGAGTGGTTCTCAGGGGTCCATTCGTCAGACTGCTAGCTTGCGAGTCAGCCAGCAGACTCAACTCACGCCGGAGGATTATGAAATCCTCCAAGCAGAAGATCCTCAGGATGAGCTACAACGGCAATTGGACGAGGCAGCAGAGAGGAGAAGGAGAGCAATCCTGAGAAAAGCTAGACTAGGTAATAGAAGAGAGGAGCTAGGCAGACTGGAAGGACTAGATGAGGCGGCATTAGACCCTGTTGTCCGTGTGCTGCGTAATGCTTTACTATCAGTGGCAGAAGCGCAGAATGTCCAGCAGGAATTGCTGGCCGAATTGGTAGCAGGCCAGAAACAAATCCTGGCTGAACTCCAGGCTCCTCATACGATGATGAGGCAGCCACAGTTTGCTGTAGTTCCCCCTGTGGGTGCAGGTCCTTCATCGATGCCGCAACACATAGGGCCAACTTTCTCTCCTATGTTTGGCATACCCCCTCCAGGTGGTTTAGTAGCAACTAGTGGTCCGGTTCATAGAGTCTCAGTCGTACCATCTACGACAGTGGTCACTACAGTCCCACTGTCAAGCCAGGCCCAGTTAGTGTGCAACAGCCTGTTTCAGTGGCTATGCAGCCGCTGCAGCAAGCCCCTGGGCCCATGCAGCCTATGCAAACGATGCAGTGGATGCCCAAGATACCCCTGATGAGTCCTAAGCCCTTCTTCGACGACAGGAAGAAGGATGATGACTTGGATACCTGGGTAAGAACGGTGCCTACCTATGTGAGGCACAAACTTACCAGGCCAGAGCACGAAGTTGTAGTGGCTGCCTCCTTTTTAGAGGGGTCAGCAGCCCGTTGGTTGAATGGCTTAGTGCAGCAACAGGGCTACGGTCAAAACTTCGATGCTTGGGCACAGGCCCAGACATTGGAAGAGTTCGTACGGTCCGTGTATAACAGATGGCATGACCCGCAAGGGGCTCAGAAGGCCACCGATGCTATCAACAGTCTTTGTTCCCGCAGGTTCAAGAATGTTAGAGAGCTAACAGACACCGTAGAACGTTTACTCGTGGCACCTAGTGTGCGTTTTGACCAGCAGGTTCTCCTGACGGATTACCTAAGGTGCCTACCTGCAGAGGTAAGGACCAAGCTGGTTGATGAAGCCTATGTCGAACAGCACACCTTCGCCTCTTTCAGCAAGAAAGCCTTAGACATAGAGGCTAAGTTGGGGTCCGCGCATCAGAGTCAGGGCGATGGTAGGAAGAAGAGATTACCCCAGGAATGGAAAAAGAAAGGTCAACTAATGTTCGTCGACCATGATGGTCAGGCGACAGAAATTGACAACTTCCCAGACCTTGGGGAGGAGACAAAGCATGATGGGGCTAGTGAGACTTCAGATGGGGGAGTCGTGGTACCCATTAAGGAAAAGGCTAGGGGGACCGAGAAAAAGAGGGTAGTACGGTCCACGGGTCAGGGCGACCAAGGCACACTTGCCTGGGTGAAGCTTGGTTTAGAGTACGAGGTGTGGAGAGACCGAGTTGCTAGGGGCACGTGCATGAACTGTGGCAACTATGGCCACACGTCTAGAACGTGTCGAGGCAAGAAAGTCTTGACGAGGGTAGCCTCACCAACAGTAGTGGGACTATCTTTAAACTCTGGCGATGCTTCTGCGAGCACTTCGCAGGGAAACACCTCGGGCCAGTAGGAGTTTTAGCCGCTCTTACTCGCGCTGAAGTGGTTACATTGCCTTCCCCACTTCAGGCGTTGGCCAAGGCTAGTGACCCACGTATCGCCCCGCAGACACATTCAGACCCACCGACGCTTTGTTCGAGAGATGTGTCTGAGGCCCTAGAGGAGTTAGAGACTGAGTGGTCAGGGAAGGATCCCAGGGACTCTTGGGCGATGATAAGTAGAGGTCCAAAGGGTGAACATTTCGTGGTAGAGGTTAATGTAGGTGGCCGCAAGGTTGGCGCCTTCGCAGACATAGGCTCTACACGAAACTTCATCAGTCGTGCTTGTGTGGACAGTCTGCGCTTAGGGGACCAAGTGCAGCGGCTTAGCAGAACCGTAGCTTCTACGCTGGCCAACAAGCACCAAATGTTGGTAAAGACTATGTCAAGGACGTAGTCTGCACCTTCTCCTATGGAGGAGGGGAAGTGAGTCATAAAATCTCCTTCATGGTTAGCGACGAACTGCCCTTTGATATGCTCCTAGGTATGTACTACCTCGAGGTCGCGCAACCGCAATTTGACTGGGATAGAAAGGTATTGATGCACAAATTGCCCAACGGTAGATGTGTTAGATTGCAAAAGTTCAAAGCTAGCAGTCTGATAGAAAACTACTGGTGCATGTGTGCATCATTCTTCTATAACTATTATAAGTAGAATCGCGAGGAGGGCATGTATCTTGTATTTGTCTCTGAGAAAGGGGAGGCCATAAAAACATCCCCAGAGATAGAATCAGTCGTCGCACAATATTCAGACCTTTTTTAGGAGCCCACAGGCGTGGTAGAAAGGGAGGTTGTCCATGCAATAGAGGTTGTCCAAGGTAGTAAGGTGCCTAGAGGACGAATCTATAGGATGTCTCCTGCAGAGTTAGATGAGCTCCGCCGCCAGCTCAAGGAACTCACAGAGAAGGGATGGATACGGCCTAGTACCTCCCCTTACGGCGCTCCAGTACTATTCGTGCCTAAGAAGGGAGGTACCTTGAGGATGTGCATTGACTATAGGGGCCTCAATGCCATCACCGTTAAGAACGCGGAGCCCCTACCCCGCATCGACGACCTCTTGGATAGAGCGCAGGGATGCCGGTAGTTCACCAAAATAGATCTGAAGTCCGGATACCATCAAATTGCCATTAGGCCTGAGGATCAGCACAAAACCGCATTTCAGACTAGGTACGGTCTATACGAGTTTGCGGTGATGCCCTTTGAACTATGCAATGCGCTTGGTACGTTCCAGCACGTGATGAACAGGATTTTTCATGATTACTTAGACAAGTTTATCGTCGTGTACCTCGACGATATTCTCATCTTTAGTAGGACTGTAGAGGAGCACGTTGAGCACTTGAAAACAATGCTAGGCCTCCTAAGATAGCACCAGTACAAGGTTAACTTGGAGAAATGTGAGTTTGGTCGCACCAAGATCTTGTACTTGGGTCATGAAATCTCAGCAGATGGACTGAGGCCGGAAGATGCCAAAGTGGCCAGCATACGTGACTGGCCCAGACCTCAGACTGTTATTGAGGTCAGATCGTTTTTGGGGATGACGGGTTACTATCGTCCGTTTGTGAAGAACTATAGTACTACAGCTTCCCCATTGACAGATCTAACTCGACTGGACACCCCTTGGGAGTGGACTGAAGAGTGTGAGGCAGCCTTCAGGAAACTGAAGTATGCCCTGACACACTATGAGGTTCTTAAACTTCCCGATCCTGATAAGCCGTTTGTTGTGACCACAGACGCCAGCCAATATGGTATAGGCGTGGTCCTTGCGCAAAAGGAGGGGCCCAAGTTGAGACCTATCAAGTATATGAGCAAAAAGATGCCATCCCAAAAACTAGCTAAGTCCACTTATGAGCGCGAGCTCTACGCCCTATATAGAGCGCTGGTACACCGGAGACACTATCTCCTTGGCAGATTCTTCTATGTGAGATCTGACCATGAGACCTTGCGCTGGATCAAGACTCAGCATGTACTTTCTGACTCACTCAAGCGCTAGATACAAGTGATAGACATGTATGACTATCAACTTGATCCAATCAAGGGAGAGTACAACAAAGTGGTTGATGCATTATCTCGCTGGGCGGATTATATGGGCGCACTAGTGACTGAATTTGGCATATCTAACGACTTAACTCGATCATTGGTGGATGCCTATCAGCAAGATCCAGTTATGTCTAAGATCATCCGTAGATTCCAAGCAAACGACAAAAAGACTTTGGACGAATTTACGATGGTAGACGGCTTGCTGTTTCTTGAGAAGGCAGGGAATAAAAGATTGTGTGTTCCCAGTAGTGAGTCTTTGCGTAGTTTATTTTTAGGAGAATGTCATGATGCAACGGGTCATTTTGGATACAAGAAGACATCAACAAACTTAGTACAGAGATTCTGGTGGCCCTCTATGCTGCTAGATGCAAAACGCTATGTTGAAACCTGCCAGGTTTGCCAGAGGGACAAACCAAGGACTCTGGCTCCGCTTGGGCTGATCAAGCCCTTGCTGATTCCGGAAGGACCTGGTCAGAGTGTGTCCATGGACTTCATGGATACTCTTGTGACCAGTAAGTCTGGCAAAAGGCACATCTTCATAATAGTGGCTTTACTAAGTATGCAAGACTAATCGCTATGCCAAGAACAGCTAAAACTGACCACGTCATCAAACTGTTTATAGACAATTGGGTACGTGATTTCGGTTTACCTACATCTATCGTTAGTTATAGGGATGCGAGATTCACAAGTGAACTGTGGCAGTCAACCGACGAACAGATGGGCAAAAAACTCCAAATGACCTCAGGGAATCACCCTGAGTCAAATGGTCAGGCAGAACAGATGAACCGGGTAGTACGATACCTGCTTCGGCATTATATTAAGCTAAGTCAGGATGACTGGGACGAGAAGTTACCGCTCGTCGCCAGCCTGTACAACAATGTTGTGCACAGTACTACCGGTATGACTCCCAACCAGTTACATCTTGGTTGGAAGCCCAAAACTGCACTCAACTTTCTGCTACCAGAAAGACAACCCATTGCAGCACCTGGCAGCATAGACTTTGTTGTCAAATATGAACAGATGCTGCAGCAGGCCGTTGAACATATTAAGAAGTCTCAGGATGCTATGATCGCATCTGAGAATAAGCATAGACGGCCCTCGAACGTTCAGGTAGGTGATAAAGTCTGGGTAAAGTCATCTGAACTAGGTCAGGAGATGGGGATATCCAGAAAACTGATGCCACAATATTTTGGGCCCTGGGAGATCTTGGACGTTGTAGGGGATCAACCAGATGGGCCTTCATACGTGATCCGTATTCCTGCACACCTACGCACTTACCCTGTGTTCCATGCCTCCAAGCTGCCACCTTTCGCTGCCACTGACCAGTTTCCTTCAAGAAGATCAATGCTGCCCCCAACCATGGATGACGAAGTGGACGTGGACCAGATCGTTGAGCATCGAGTGATGCCTGTTCCTCGACCATCAGGCAGAGGGCGCCCTCCTAAGCCGAGAATGCAGTACCGTGTGAGCTTCAGACATCATCTGGATCCTAAGGAGGATCGCTGGTTCACACGAGAAGAACTCATGAGAACAGCACCTCAAGTGATTGCAGGCTACGAAAGCGCACTCAAGGGGAAGATGCCTGCAGAATAAGAGATTTCTCAGAGGACTCACGAAGTAAAGGAGGAGGGGATGCGAGGATCAGGGTCCTCGGCAGGCCTATGGGGCCCTGTTTGCAGCATTGCCCGCCCTCAGTGAAGGCGGGCCTGACATATCACAAGAGGCCCTCGACTGTCAATTTCATATTTGGGGTCCAGGCAGTTGCGACGCGCCAGTTGGTTGAGTGAAACTCAGGCCGAGCAACAAAGACATTTCCACGGCCTTCCGGGCCTTTTCCAAAGAATGCAGGCCCTGGGCGTGATTCGCAGCCTCATACAGAGACAGTTGGGCGCCCAACCGAACGAGGCCCAGCAGCCCAGTAGCTGCTGTACACAGGCASCCTCCTGGGGCCTTCCGGAAGCTGCTGGGSCCAGGCCAGTGCAGCCAGGCTGCACGAGCAGGCCAGTTCTTTCCATAAAGGAAAGAGCTCAGGGCTGGCAGCCTCATTCGGTCACTTGCTGGCTGGCGGCAGCGCTGCTGGAGCAATTRCTCGCGGGCTGGCTGCCGGCATTGGAGCAAGWGGCTGCGCACGTGCGGTCGTGTGTGGGAGCAGGGCGCTGCTGAGGGCAGCGCCATAGCCAGCCTCCATAGCGGGCTGGGCTTGGATACACAGTGAGGCGCATGGGTGGTCTTCGTGTACAAGAGAGGACAGGTGTGGGTGTTAAGTCAGGGAAGGGCGAAGGATGATGATGATGATGATGTGAGGGCACTTACCTTGTATTGGCGATGGTCTGCATATGGGCGGCATCTTCAAGTACTTCGGGCTGCCGCTGATGTCAACAGTTGCATTGTCTATTATTAGGCTGATCGTAGCTGTGTAGGAGTCGGCTGTGCGCTTAGCGCCAAGTAGGCGTGTGAAGGGACTGGACTCTTGTGTTGCTGAAGGAGAGAGAAAGCTCTCCATGACATTGGTTTTCAGTATTACGAACCTCCATTGGTGTATTATTGGTGCAATGCTGCTCTCTGGACACAGTGTGACTATCTGGCCTTTAATGGGATGGTGTAATCTGGATTTGTCATCTCGCTGTTGCTTATTTTCCTTGCAAATACCTCTACTGTCTGTGTTCTTCTTCTACCTTCACACAGGCCCTTATTAACCCCTTACAGTGGAAAGTGGGATGACCCTGCCTTCAAAGATCCTAGTAAGCACCTAGACAGCACCATTCCACCTGTTTCACTTCTCCTCTGTCATGGGTGGTGCATCATGGGACCTTGTTATTGGACTAGTTCCAACATTATGGTTGTCAGCCTGTGCCAGGATGGTACTTGAACCATAGAAAGATACATCGCACATTCAGGCCAAACAGCAATGCATGCAGAGAAGGGCGACTGCATCCCCCCTTCCAATAAACCCCTCAAGATTATGTACTGGACTGTTTGAACCAAGGGGAAAATGGGACCTGAAAAATTGTAGATTGAGTAGTGCCCTGCAAACAGTGAGCAGTAACCTGGCAGATATGTCATGAGACAGGTGGGAGTTGTGAGCAGTGAAAAGAGGACTGGCAGGGGTAAGGGCAGCAAGTGGTGAAACAAAATTAAGAGGAGGGTGGGAGAAGACCAATGTATGACTGTGAGAGTAAGGCCCCATTGACAGGCTAGAGGGCATCATATGAAAAAAGGGCCAAATCCAAAGCTGAAATGAATATTTGCACTAGAAAACTGAACAGGGAATGAGAGCTCCACTAGAAAATGACCCGACTTGACGTGGTCCAGTATTAGAGAAAGAGCGCATGCGCCGTTCGGTGAGCGCAATTCCGCCGCCATGTCACGGTGCTACAGCATCTCACGGGAATCTGCCCACGCGCGTCTTATACGGGTCCAACACCTTTCACGATTTTTTCTCCGCGCCACTATCGGACCGTTCCTTTTCTGCAGATCATCCAAGGTGGTAGATCTGCGGATAAGCCGTCACCATCAGACCGAGGTCATCTCGGTTTCCTCGGATCACGCTCCGTGAGCCGTGCAAGCAAGACTCGCGGTGAGCTTATCGCGCCGTCCATACCGAAGATCGACGCAGCAGCTGAAGATCGCAATAACAAGAGGCGCACAAGTACGCAATACAACGTTTGGCAGCGAGCCATCAAAGTCTACGGCTGAAGACCGGCGAGAAAATACAAGGCCTGCTCCTTGTTTGGCGCATTGGGAAAGATCTTATCGAGCCGTCCGTTGCACACGAGATCGAGGAAGCGGGAGAACACTAGGAAATCTGTTCCGCCCTGACTTTCTCAGGAGACAATGGGCAACAAGCCATAGAAGAAGACCTTCAACAACGCACAAAGGCTAGCTGTGCTTGCAAAGCGATAATTTTTCTTGGACAACGGACGTGATTCGACCTGCTGATGGAGACAACCTTCGCACATGCTTCCTGCTCGTCACGTAAGTCTACCGGGACATCGTCGAAACACACAAGCGCGATCTCCAAACCCTGGTGAACAGTAGCTTCGCCAAGGTGGTTATATCAACCTTATACCTCGTGTGATCCGGAATCCGGTGGAACCTACCCACGTATTTCGTGAGTTGAAGGGACTAACGGACAGCGAGAGTTTTGGGATTCGTGGTCGCTTCCTGACTCATTGTGGTATAAGCGGGAAGTAACGAAGCCCGATCGGGCCGCTCTAGATTCAGTTTTCGAACGTGAAGATTCGGGTGATGTGCTATCTCCAACTTTATCCCCTGCTACATCGCTACACTCTAACACTTCGGCCTATCCCCAGACAACCCTTTCTAAGAGCATAATACTCCATCTCCATCGCCCTCTCCCCGATTCCATTCGTCACCATTAACACCTCCATGAATACACCCCTGCGTCCACCTGTTGCTTTCTTTCTGCCATCCTTCCCCCACGCCCTACCTGTTGCTTTCTTTCTGCCATCCTTCCCCCACGCCCGGTCACCCTAGCTGTCCAACCGCCCACGACTATAACAGCAACAACGAAACAGTATTCTCTCCCACTGTAATTTAGGGACGGAAAAAAAAGAGCCGTCCAGTTATCGATTTATTGTAACTTGGATCTAACCTCCCATCCCGCTGTCTAACATAGGGCATCGCGGCGTTTTTTCCTCGGCCCTGCCCCCCCTCCAGGCACATGCGGACTAGGATTCGCATTCCCATTGATCTTCCATAGCCTATCCCACGTTCCTCCTCTCAATCCAACTGTTGACCTCCTTCGCTCATTTCAACCGGTTTCCATTCATACTCCCTCCTACTATTAACCCTTTCTGCTTACCCCCGAATCCATCCGAATCAAAGGAGAAAAGAAAAAGAAGCGTGAAAGGCCTTCCACGATTCAGACCCCAAATTCGGGTATCAGGGTCAGAGGCCCTGGCCAAGAAAGGCCGAGTTAGTCAATTGAAGTCACAGTCGGGTACCTCAGCAGTCCAGTCCAACAGGCACCCAGCAAAAAGTCACATCTTAGGGGCAAGAATCACGTTTCAAAATGGAAAGTCATATTGAAGAGTCACATCCCACGAGTAAAAGGGCGATTCCACAGGCAGGGGTCGTGTCCCAGAGGCAGGAGTCACAGTCCACAGTCAAAACCAAATGCCAAAATCCAAAAGCCATGACTCAAAGGCCCAAGCAGCAGCAGACCAATGGAAATTTGGGAAGGTTCCAGGCCTTGACATTCGAAAGCAGACAGCCCGTGGGGATGTGGTACCGGAACCCAGTCAGGCCCCAGGAAGCAGAGGCTGGCACGAGTTGAAGTGCAGTCCAAGACTACAAAAGGACTGGCCAGCCTCCCATTCGGGCAGATAACTCATTCGCATGAAGTGTGGAAGTGCTGGTGCACTTGTGCGCTATTGTGAGGGGCAGAGCGCTGAAGCCAGAGTGCTGTGCTAGCAGAGAGAGAGAGAGAGGGAGAGAGAGCAGGAGATAGCGCTGGCAGGGAGAAGGCAGCCAGAGCTGCGCCAGTGCAGAGAGTTAGTAGATAGTAGTAGACTTCAGAGGGTTAGTAGGCATATCAGTGGGTGTATTCAGAGTAGATTCTTGAAGTAGAAGTTAGCGAGTGTGCACGCATGTAGGGAGAGAAGACACAGTGTAGGGAGAGAAGACACAGTGCAGACATGGTTAGGGAGAAGACCAGCGAGGGGAAGCGATACACAAGAGAGAAGTGCAGTGAGGAAGAGATACTCACCTGAGAGTTTATGCTGGATACTGGTTACCTTTGGTATGTGCTGATGTGCGCTGGTGACTTGAACTCTTCCTGCTCTTATGATAATTTGCTGGAATTATAAGCTGCGCTACCTGGTCTTCATTTCTCTGACCTCCAGTGTGAAATTTGTGTGAACTCATACATGCATGTGGTGTGATTGTATGCGCTCACTGGTGATTGATTCATTGCAAACTGGTATAGGAGCAGTTGCTCGCTATATCCACTGGTTGTCGCTGGCAACGATTAAGGCCGGCAAGAAGAAGAGATATATGCAAGAAAGTTGAGTGGGGAGAAGACTGACGAAGGGGGAAGGAAGTAGGCCGAAGAAGAAGTGGCCTGTTGAGAGGTGATTATGTACTTGTTGCTGCTGCGTTGGAGCATTGGAGCAGCCGTGGAGCTTCATCAACGGAATGTTCATTGGAGTGAAGTGCATCCCCCCATTAAACCTGTATTGCTTGCTGATTTGCCTCGGTGTTTGGTACCTCCCTCATTCTATTGTCGCAGCTGCTGGGCTGGTCCAAATCTCGTGACATAGTTGGTATTGCTTAGAGTCCAGCAACCAGTCCAATCGTTTAAAAAAAAACATATACATATACAGTCCAGGGAAGTTACATGGCAGTCAGCAACAGTCAGACCCACTCATGAGTTAGTAATTAGTAGTCAAGTGGTGAGGAGGTGGAGGCCGCTTACCTATGCTTCTAGTCACCATGGACGAGTACCCCATGTTCTCACTTATGGCCGAGTACCCCATGTTCTCACTTATGGCCGAGTACCCCATGTTCTCACTTATGGCCGTGTGTGTGTTCTAAGGCCCCTTCTTCGCTTCATCTTCCCTCTTCGCTTCCAACGGACTTTTTGTTCACATGCGGTGTTAGGGTCTGGGAAGTCAACACGGGCGAGTACAGCTGAGGAGCAGGCAGAGATAGATCGCCGCTTCGATGAGAAGAAAAAAGAAAAGGGGGAGAAGAAAAGAAAGGAGGAGGAAGAAGTGAAGAAGAAGTTGTTGGAAGAAAAAAGAAAAGATGGAGAAAGAGATGAAGGAGAAGGAGAGAAAGATGATGGAGGTTTTGGA